TCGTTTATAATTAAAAACATGCAAGTAGTAAAAGACGAGAATACAAAGAAATGTTCATTTGCTATAAAAACAACAAGGAAAATCGTGTTTTGTGTGCGTATATTCTTGGAGTGCTACATTTTGTTTATATGTAATGTTAATCTTACACATTGAAAAGTAAATTACAACAACACGGAAATGATGCATTTAAAACAAGTCAGGTAATTAAATTGGTTACGAGGAGCTCTTGAAAGTTAGTGTTGGGTGTTTCTATGCTATTAAATAGATAAAAATTATATGATACATTTTATATATATATATATATATATATTACCGATGTTTATCGCACTCAAAGCGAGTCGTTCTCTACAAAAGGTACAATATCTCATCAATGTATTTATATGCAAGTATTTTTCTGTTCCATTTAAGCGGCGTAAGATAGGAAATACTTTGTATATACCGACATGGGCGTTCGCGCGGAGGGGGGGGGGGTCAAGAGGAAACACTTGACCCCCCTGAAAAATGAAAAACATAATTCAGCATATGTATATGAATTTTTTATTCAATTCACAATTACATACTACTTTGCCCCCACCCCCACCCCTGGAAAAATGTCTGCGGACGCCCTCGTATACTGAAGTGGTTTTGAAATTTACTGGATGAACTGTGGGAACCTACGATCCTGACTCACAGCTGGTACATTCATGTACGTGTTTACCAATGATTCACTCAAGTAATGCCACCCGTATCATAAGAGGACTTGGTTCGGATTTCTAACGTTAACAGATACGAAAAATAAGGTCAGTCAACCGGTACATGTAAACAATTGTTCACTGTCTCTCCCCAACATACATACTTCACAAAAGGTTACTGATGTTTATTTTAATTTTCTAATACTCGTCAACAATCAAATTTTTTCAACAAGCGATCACTTTCAGTGCAAACAAATATGTGCGTTCCGTATTATCAGAATACGTAATTTATTCCAGGTTACAGATAATTATCGGTGTAAGTATAAAACAAAACAATCCCTAGATAATTTTATTTAACATGGTATGCAGTTTATTGTTTTTATCTGAGTGTTTTAAATTAAATACATTTTTACATCCCCTACAATTTTAGTTTAAGGTTTATATGCCATACATAGCCAATAACTGTTACGTGCATTACTTACGTACTTAATCGGCACGTATACGTACACATACAGACTGCAGCATAAGCAAGCACTAAAAAGAATGAAATAATCGATTAGGACTCTTCCATTTAAGAAAAATATTGTGTGGGTAAGAATAAGTCTTATTTCCGTGATGACATGCTATTCATAGAGAAGCGAAATAAAATAAATCAGATACTTCAAGAATTATTTTAGTCAAAATAATAACAATAAACAATGCTAAACAAAAAGAAAAACAACGGTCGGTAACTTGGTGGATTTTTTTAAAGATAGTATCTTTCTCCGAACTGGAGATGACAAGGACAAGTCTTTTTTTCTTTTTCAGTAGAGCACGTTACATTAATTAGGGTTATTTTGTGCAAGTAAATTAACTTTAGATTCAGGTTAGTCGCAATTTTTGTTTCAAAAGCGCGCGATCCTCTTAAGAAAAAAATAATGACAAAAGATAGTGCCACGTCTTTATTTTTGCATGGCTGATGTGTCAAGACAATGTTACACAACATAGCTTTAAATAGGTAATTTTGTGATAAACAGATGATTCACAGACCTGTTGAAAAATAACTTTACCATTGAACGATTATAATGTAATATCTCACTTTATTTGCTTTGCAACTGAACAAACCAACATAATTTCATCTTAGCTAATTAAAACGTCTACAGGAAAGTACAATATCTTGTAATACTTCAAATCCAAGCTTAAAAAATATTTGGATGCTAAAACTACTGAAACTCAGAAGGAACTGCTCGATAAACTACTTACAGTCTCTCTTGAATAACTAGAATTCATTTAACAATCTCTTGAACTCTAATAGCTTCATAACTTCGCTAAAGCTCTCTGTTTTGTTTTTTTCTAGGTCAACTGCAAACAACCATGACGTACTGAACGGCCGGTGGTCTCGTATCTCAGTGCAATACCGTTCTACACCGCACTGACCAGGCAAACGCCATATTGTAAAGTCACGTTCTAGCAAGATCAAATCCTTCATATTTTTGCGTATTTGTTTCTACACTGAAGAAACTAAATACGGTTCAGAAGGCCGTGGCTGTTTGTTCACACCTACATATTCCTAACCAGTTCGATACTGTACTTAAGAGAAAGCTTTATATTAAAAATGAACTTACATACGTATAATTGCGACTTACAAGTTACAGATAAGTTTCAATTCAATAATGAATACATAGTATAATTCAGTTTATTTTAGAAACGTGAATAAATATTTATTTCCACACAAGTTGTTCATCATCGAGTTGTAGTTTTACGTTTATTACACACACACACACATATACATACATACACACACACACACAACAAATAAGTAAACTACAATACGTACCTCCTCCCGA